GGGACGGAGTGTTGGGCAACCAAGAAACAACATGTAGATAAGATGAGTGTGGCTGAGATGAGGATGCTAAGGTGGATGTGTGGTAAGACTAGACAAGACAGGATTAGGAATGAGTGTATTCGGGAATGGGTAGGAGTAGCACCGATAGAAGATAAGTTGAGAGAGAATCGTTTGAGATGGTTTGGTCATATTCAACGAAGGCCAACAGAGGCAGTAGTGAAGAGATGCGATGCTGTAACGATAGATGGAAGTGTTAGGGGACGGGGTAGGCCTAGATTAACGTTGACTAGCGTTATAAATAGAGATATGAATCTACTTAATTTGACTAATGAAATGGCCTTTGATAGGGCCGCGTGGAGAAGAATGATTCATGTAGCCGACCCCATTTGATGGGACTTAAGGCTTGGTTTGGTTTGGTTTGGTTTATATATATAACTCAAAGATTTTCCCTTTCTCAAGCTTGGGAGATGAAGAGAAAGAAAACCCTAGAACTCAAAGTTAGTAAAAACTCGATCCAATCGATTATAAATGTAGCCTTCGTTTCCCTCTTCGATTTGGTGCAAAAAGCCCCTTCAAACCCTTGGAGATTTAAGCAAACTCCTGAAGATTTGAGCTAAATCTTCGAGAGAAGTTGGATTTGGGTGTGTTTGTAGAAAGAAGGGAGAGAGAATATGAGTAGAGAGAGAGAGAGAGAGAGAAGTGAAAATTTGTACAAACACGTTTTTGGCATTAGTTTTGAGGAAATAAGCACAAATTTCGAGACAGAAAGAATGGAATTTCCAATCTGCACGAGTGGATTTTTTTTACCTCATGGGCAGTTTGCTCCAAAGAGCTATCCAAAAAATCCACCCAAAATCCACTTGAGCGGGACCCAAAATCTGCCCAAGCAGTTTTCTGCCCAGAAAACTCTGAAAAACTTGAAAAACTCTGTGAGAATCCACTCGAGCGGTTCCCAAATCCGCACAAGCGGTTTTGCCTAGAAACTCAGAATTTGATTTTGCAACCCAAGACAAGTTCCAATGCCCAAAACTCAAAATTTTCAACTCAGAAAAGTTAAGAGAGGTTAAGTAATAGTAGAAAAGAAATTTCATGACCCAATACGACAAACAAAACCCCGAAAGTAATGCACACTATCCTACAATACAATAATATTTAAACTCAAGACCCTAGACATCACATGTGTTATATGCAAAGAAGCTAGGGTAAGCTATGTTTTTAATGATTACTTATATCTTGAAAAACTTAGAGGGATATCTTTCAGGTGGAGTGTTTACGAGACTCAAAATAAGGATCACCTATATAAGTGTAAAGGGGCCACTTCTATGAGAATTGATAAGGCTGAATTCTCTAGAGTACTCATAAATCCAAGAATTGTCCAGGGTCAAAATGGACACAACTGATAGAATCAAGTTATGTATGAAAATAAAACTGTGTGACAGGTTATTATCCCGATTTAAATTAACGGTAGAATAGTTTAAGACATCATGTTTAGTGATCAACCAGTAAATCCGATAGTCTTTACAAGGGAAGGTTCAAGGCCAAAAACTACCTATCCTATGCAGTATATTTCTAGATTTGTACTAACACAATCTGAATGTTGTTGTATTTCTTGTTTTGTCAATTTCATTCATGTGGAGGATTGTTAGAAAAAAATTAAAAGCAGGGTTGCAAACGAGCTGAGCCAAGATTTTGAATGTTCAAGCTTGTTTATTAAGAATTAGTCGACCTTGAGCTCGAGTCGTGCTCTAATTGAGCTTCAAAAATCGAGCTCGAGCTCGGCTCGTCAAATATTTGTTAAACTCGAGCTCGCTCGATTACATAAACGAGCCGAGTTCGAGCTCGAGCTCAAGCTTGAAAAAAAAAAGATTTAAATTAATTTACTTATTAAGATAAAAAAATACAAAATTATGAGTAAAATTTGTAATAATACTTATATTAATACTAAATTTCATCAATCAAACGTTTAAATTTACACAAACACCAAATATAAAAAATAAAATAGATCATTGAAAATTTATTTAATATATTATTAAAAATAAATATTAATTTATGTATTTTTATGTTCACGAGCCTTATCGAGCCGAGCTTAGAGCTACTTGAGCTTGGCTTGATTAATAAACGAGCCTAAAAGTCGAGCTTTAAATGAGCCGAGCTTGAGCTAGAGCTATTTATGAACAGTTTGGTTAGTTTGCGGTGGCTTGTTTGGAAAAGTTTGCCAAAAGGTTGACCAGTTGCGGGCTCTACCACGATAGGAATACAAACCGTTTGATCCTCCTTTCACTTCTCGGTGTTAGGTGTGAGAGGTATATTAGGTGGTCTTGCTGAGGTACCCTTTTTTGACTAATCGACCTAGTTGCATATCGAAAACCATAAAGACTGTTCCAAACTAGGACAGGTGCTCAACCGAATGCAGGAATTGTTTGAAACCGCTTGTTTGCATAGTAAATCATTAGCTCCTGACAAAATTCGGACAGGGTAACCCTACCCCGTCATAGGGTGTTTTGGCCCTCACTTACTTGATACGTGCTTTTAGAGTGAAACTCTACGGAATGTATCTATCAGTTGGAAGTCAGGGTATCAGCCCTATTTAGAAGTGAATGAAAATGGACATCATTCAATTGAAAGGATGCAACCTTTCATGGTACCTCTTCATTATAAAGGGTGTGACTCAAGGATGGTGTCTCTTCATTTTAAAGGGTATGAACCAAGGGTCATGTCCCTTCTTCGTGCCTTTTCAGTTCAAACTGAACATGTGCCAACAAGTCTATATAAAGACAGCTCCCATTTCAGTTTATTCATTCCAAATTCCTCAAGCATTCTTTTCTTTTATTCTTTATCAATGTAAATTTGAATTTATGAGTGCGAAACATAATTTTGATTTGTTGTAAAATAAAAGAATGTACTCTCTTCGTTTGTGGTGATTGTTGTATCATGAAGACAGGATGTCCATTGTTTTCAAGTACCATTAGAGAGGACGAAATTTTGTCTTAAAGACACAATGTTCAAACATTGGCCTCAATCATAAACTTGTTTATAAACAATTTGCAGAAGTACTGTAAGTTTAATTTTATTATTTTATTATTATTATTTATTATTTGCTTAAATTAACTATTTGTCGAAATTATCTCCAACAAAAATAATTTGAAATTCGATGATAAAACAAAAACAATATAAATTTATACTTATTCTCTTTTTTAGGCTTAAAAAATTATATTTGATTTAAATATTCAAATAATAAATGTTTATCCTTATATATAACGTATAATAAATATATAAAATTAAATATTTTGCATGCACCCCATGTGTTATGTCATATTTCTTTTTTTTGAAAATTTTCGCATCAATGTATCCATATTGTGTCACATCTATATCTCTATTTCTTATCTTGTCGATATCAAAGAGTGTAAAAATCGTACCAATTGGAATGAATTTAAGGCATACATGATGAAAAATCTAAAATCTCCAAGATATTAATCTGTGATTATGTTTCAATTTTAAACAAAGAATAACAATCTCAATCAAACAATCAAAGACAAATCAACACACTGATTTAATGTGGAAAAATCACAATTGGAGCGCCTCCAATTGTGATAAAAAAATCACGGGCCAAAACTACAAAACAATCCATTAAAAAGACAAAAATGAATTACACATGTGTACCCTCAATTACCTAGCAAATCCATGCCCGAATTGAACTAACCTCCATGTGCCTCTTCCACTACCATCTTCACTTTGGAATTGTCTTGTCTAACATTGAATCCACAACGCTGATGTTGAATCCACGACGATGAGCCACTCAGAAATCCACCAAACTTTCAAGTCCAAGTTTCTCGAAAACCACCAAAGAACAACTCTCTTTTTTGTGAATAAAATAAGACAAACAAACCCCTTGATGATGTTGATATAAAGTTCATAAATCTATTGATCGCTCTTAATCATTAAGGAAACACTCATAAAACACTCTCCAATATAAAAATACTTTGTTTTTTTTTCTTCCTCACTGAAAATCTAGACGATTTAAACCCTAAAACGAGCAAACAATGCACTTTATAGTACATTATTTGGAATAAACTAAATAAGTGCATTTATTTAGATAAATGCACTTATTTGGGTCACATCACCTTTTCATTTTTTCACACATCTTTTCGTAAAAAATTAAAAAAATATACTTATTTAGATCATCCCAAATAACACCGCTCGAGCACACACTTCACCGCTTGAGCGGCATGAATAAAGGCGGTGCAAAACATATAGACTGACCACTCGAGCACAACGTTCACTGCTCCCAGAAGTTCAAACTCTCAGCAAAAATATTGGATGATCATTTTCTTCGCTTGAGTGCACAAATGACCGCTCGAGCGGTCAAACAATTTCGACCGAGCGAAATGGCAAACATGAAAGCATCAAGATCACAAACTCTTCTGCATAAGCACAATTTGGATTGGATTCACATTTAAATACTCATATCCTCACTGACGCATAAGAGCAAATAAAATTATAATTAAAAAGAGTTTTGCCAATTACAAAAACCTAACATATGAAAGTCGCTAATGTCACAGAAGCTACTGGGTATCTATACTAATCCTTTCCCCCTTCGTTTGTTGTGGGTCGCAGCTCGCCTCATTGAATGAATGATATTAGTGGAGATCTTTCTTCCGCTTGCTAATTGCCATGAGACCTCCAGATGACTATCTACTAATAATACATATTCGACTGGTCGCCTGGGTTTTAAGAAATAAGGTGCTATCTCCTTATGGGCGTGAGGGAAATACTTAACATGGATGGCTAGTGGTAATATGAAATATGATTAGTTTCAGCCTTTCAGGTTTTCAGGTTGGGGGAGTTATGGAGCAACCAGACTAGTCTACCACACATATTATGAGCATACTGTTCTGCAGGCTTGTCACTGAATGGAATCAGATCTATAAGACTATCAGCAGAAGGTATAATCTGTGTGCGCGCGCGCGCATGTGTGTGTGTGTGTGAGAGAGAGAGAGAAAGAGAGAGAACTTGCTTTGATTTCTGGAATTCAAAAACTGACAAACAGCATTGAGTTACAAGTTGTTTCTCTGAAGAATAATGACTAACATGTCGATGACTTTAATATACATGTAACTCCATACAAAAAACCTGTACTACAGTGTACCAAAAAATGTACAGAGTTTCATTCACCACGGTGCATTAACTTCTTCCTGAAACACACCCTCAACTGTCTTTCTATTCCCCTTCAAGCCCTCAGTCTCCTCATCTAGACTTTTCATAACCTCTTTCACTTTCAAAAGCTTGTCCTCAAGACTTCTCATCTCTTCCTCTGCTTTAACTCTTTCAAGCCTTTTAGATTCCAAAACCTTCTCTTTGTCAAATGCAAGGCTCACAAGCCGGTCTATCCGAGCACGAAGGAATCCAACATTCATACCCAATTCCTCAAAGGCTTTCAGGGTCTTGTCCCAGGTTGTGAAATTATCTCGGGTTGTTGTAAGTTTAGAAGCTTTAATGGCATCTGCAATGTTAACTGTTTCAGAAATCATGCCGGCAGCTAATTTACAGTTAAGGCCCGAGAGCAGATGATTGTGAAGAAATGCTTTTTGACTGCAGCAAAGCTCGTAGTACTTGGTCCGAAGGTATGGAGGTATCATAGAGTCGATGACTAAACCATCCACAAGAACGGTGAAATTGTCAATACTCTTAATGTCTTTGAAATCAACACAAGATTCCGAAAATTTGATGCCTTCCAACACTTCAGAGCTAAATTCATCACTCTCATTTCCTGAGCCAAATTCAGGTTCTGTGCCAAGCCCAATGTCAGTGCTTAAAGCCACTATACCATTCTCCTGGACAGTGTTGTATTGATGAATGTCTAGTGAAAGAGGCGAGCATTTCTCTCCTTCCTTCATATCCTCTTCAGTTAGATCTTTATAAACAAGAAAAGATTGTGAGTAATGTTTTGGGGCTATTATTATGGAGTCCTGAAATGGAAAAGAAAGCCAACTTACCGATATCCATTGGTTTTACGCCAGCATCTAGAGTTAAAAGCCCGATAGCGCCATCTATTTCAGTTAAACCACTTGCTCTCACAATGTACACCTATAAAAAGATGGAAGGCCGGTGAGGCGGTGACAGTCAGTTAATTTTCCTATCGACACTAGCTAGGAAAAATTAAAACCTTTTGCTATGGCAATAATACAGTTAAATAATTGGAATCTTGAATCCAATGAATTTTCCATTATGAACCATGCTAATGATACGAGTAGTAATTGAAATCTAGAGTTCATAGGAAAATTGGAAAAATTTTACCTTGAACTTGCAGGGTTGAACCAATTGGAAGACTAAAACATCTCCCTCGAGCAATTTGTGTGCGATAGAGAACCCTCTCCACCCGCCACTCAGTCCATTCTTACCCACAAGATACTTTGCTTTGTAATGTTCTTCACTTTCATCAACCAAAGTAACAGTGTCATCTTGCCTTGGCAAATGCTTATCGCAGAACGACTTGGGAAAACTCTGTCACCAAACAAGTTACCGCAAAAAAACCCAATTTAGAACTCAATATTTCGACTAGTTCTGAAATTAAAAAAATAAATTTAAAATGATTTTGGGCTTACAAGCCAAAATCCACCGGCAACATGCGATGGAAGCATAGATTTCAGAAAGCTAGGGAATTCGGCTGCTAGGTTTGCTTGAACCACTTGAGCTCGCTCCATAACGGAGGACTTGTTTTGGATACAATCATGACGGGTAAGGATCATAGCCCCTTTTGATTCACTGCTTATCAGAATAACATATGTGATTGTAGTTAAAGATTTATACAATGCCAATCATGTTGAAAAAGTTGAAAATTGATATAGTGTTCACTGACCTTGTCGACTTCTTGAATTTATCAGAAATTACCTGCTCAAGAATTCACATGATAATTCAAGAACTTCATTAGTTAAACCCATCAAAAAAACACCAAAAAAGACTACTACATAACTGATAAAATCTAAGGAAGTTAGATATTGCAGAAGAACAACAAAAAAATTACTACATTTTTGGTAAGAAAAAATGCAATCTATCATTGTTAAAATTAAGGCCAAGTTTGGCTATCCTAAATAAGTACACACTTTTTATCTTTTTATCTTTTTTCCATCAAATCATCTCTCTACTTTTCTGCACATCTTTTCGTAAAAGGACAAAAAGTGCACTTATTTAGATCATCCCAAACAACTCCTAACTGGCAAGGTGACCAAAATATTTTCACTATCTGCCAAACAAGGGTTTCAACCTTAAATTGCTTGTGATTGGTCTTTTAAGCCAAGTGACACCCAGTTGCTATATTGACCTTAATATCAAGGGCTCAAGTTTAGGTGTAGTCATTTTTGTCCCTTAAACCCAAAATTGTCTCAAATGTACTTTTTGTCCCAAATTATATGGTTCACATCATTTCGGACTCGAATTGTGTCAATTTGTTCCTAAAGTAAAATGGTGTCAAACTATTATTGTGAGACGTCTTATATTTATTGTACTCTTAAGACTAATGTAAAGGGACTTTTACGGAGGTCCAAGGCCATTAGGTCAAGGATGGAGACTCACCCAGGCCTTTTGTGGGGTTCCAGGAGCAATTAGGTAGTATATATTGTAATTTTTATATAGGGTTTTAGTAACAGTGTTTCCAAAAAATTTTTTTTTTGCTGCATTGGGAGGTTGAAAAACTTCTTGTAATTCTTATCGAGTACAGCAGATTTGTTCAGCCTCGCAGCCATGGAAGTAGGCACAACTTGCCGAACCACGTGTATCTTGTATGCTTGTTTTTTTGTGTACTTGTTCTCTTATTAACTATGATTGAAACCACGATTCTACGCAAGGACTAGGCCATAAATATTTGTAGAATACAAGTATAGATTGTTCCAATAGCAAAACTAGCATAATAGAAACTCAAAATTCTTCAAGACACAAGGGTTTTGGCAAAAATAAATAGCTGAGTTTGGATTTCTCACAAAGGGTTGTAGCAATTGTTCAGTATTTGAAAAAAAAAAAACTTGGTCACCTTGTTGGTAGCAGTTTCAAGACCCGAAGGCCTTTTGGGGGGTCGCTTTCTCTTGGTTTCCAATGGCTCCTCCATATTAATCTGCCAATAAAGCAAACAAACATTTCTTTAATATTCAGTACATGTATGTATGAAAAACATGTAATTAGAGATAGAGGAAGAGAGAGACCATTGGTTCTTTTTGTTCAATCTTTCTAAGGAGAGAGAAAGGGAGGGGGAAGGTAAAAAGAGAAAGAAAAGAGGACCGTTTCGTTTGGTTTGAAATTGCAACGGAGGAGAGAGGAAGTAAGAAGACATGTCAGAGCACTTACTATTATGTATCTCTCTCTTTCTCGGAGCAAGTACCGCTGAAATGGAGCCAAAAATTTGAAATCCTCTCCTTCTCAGTTAGTACTAGGTATGGAAACTGGTGAAGCGAACAAATTTGTCCTGAAAGATATCCCTATTGTCCCATTTGGGGGTGTTTGTTTACGAGGATTGCAGGGTGATTAGATTCCATGTTTAATTTGTTTGGTTGAGAATTTACTGCTATTTTTTTAGTCACATTACATTTCACATAATTTATTCATAAAAAGATTAAATAAGTTAAAAAAATTAAAAAATTAATTTTTTACTAACTTCTCAAAACACCCCTTATAAATTGGATCCGTTTGGAAAATGGGTTAACTTTTTGATTTTTTTTTTGCTATTTTAGCCTGGGCTAAAAATCTTGGTTTGGCAAGGACTTTTTGACTTTTTTGACTTTTTTTGTAAGAGAAGAGTGTAATAGTTATGGGTTGGATGTGATGTTTTGTTTATTGTGGTTAAAATAGTCTATTTTGTCTTTTGTAGCTAAAATAGCCAAAAAAGCCTGGAAATCTTCTTCCCAAACGGTACTAGATTATGAATTTAAGGGATGTTTGTGATTCGGTTGCAATTAGAGAACTTTTAATTTGCCATTCTTTCCTCAGATTGGCGGATCAGAAAAAAAATCAATCCACATCCGTCCGTCGGATTGAAGGATGTAGATTGATAGAAGGATGTGAATCGGTTTGACGATTTAAATTTTTATAAATTTTGAACATAATACAACTTGTCAACATTTTTTTGAATAACAATCTAACTCAACATAATCAAAATATTATCAAGTAAATTGTCAAACATCAATAATAAATACATATAAGAAAACCAAACATTATCAAAACTATATTATTATTTTTTTTATTCAAAAACTATTTAATTTGATTTTAAAAAAATGACAAAATTAAGCCTTATATTTTTCACACAAAATATTAAATATCAACACTTCTCATTTGATAAAAGAATTTCTAAATTGAAAACACAATAGAATATTTAAACTCTTTTTCAATTAAAAGCACAAATATAATATCGAAATAAATTAAAAACACAAGTCTGACAAATCAATAGGAGTACTCGCAGTTTGGCGGTTCGGTTGTTGCCACAGGAACCTCAAATTTGCAATCCGTTTAAAACTAGGCGGATTGAAAAAAAATTAATTCGTAATCATTTACTCATCATTACGCATCCGTACAAAATGCGCCCGATCGGTTTAGGCGGATCAGATATCCGTTGCTCACTTCTAATGAATTCTATATATATGCTGGACCATTTGTGTCTTAAAAAACGTGGGATAAAAATGGTGAGATTGGAATTCATGGGAGTAAATTTTAAAATGACATATTTGCGTTTTAAATATTTGATTTCATTATGTATTGTATTCAGTAAAATAAAATAAGATATAAAAATCTCAATTAAAAAATAAAGAGTAAATTACAAATATATCTCATTGGATTTGATTAAAATTCGAATCGTCCCATGTGATTCTGGAAATTATATTATACTCCTGATATTTCTAATTTCATAACAAATTGTCTTTTTTATTAATAAATTATTAAGTCAATTAACAGTTTTTAATGATGTTCGAAATATGTTTCAATTAATAATTTAGATAATTTTATTATTGTATAGGAGAGCAATTATGAATTTTATTTTTTTAGTTAATTTTGTTAGATAAATTTTTTTGACAAGGGGGTATTCTTAATTTTCTAAATAATAGGGGACAATCTGTATTTTAATCAAACCTCAGATGGTGTATTTGTAATTTATTCAAAAATAAAATAAAATAAAATAAATAATTTAATTTATATTTATATTTATTTATTTTTTAAAATAAATTTTATAGATGTTTTATTTTAAATTTTTGTTCATATTTTATTTAATTTCATTATTTAATATTTATCATTTTTTAAAATAAATTTATTTAAATTTTTTTTAATTTTTTTATTTAATCTAGCTAAAAAAAATTAAAATATTAAAGACAAATTTAGTTTGACTATTACTTAGTAAACAATTGAAAAAGGTAAAATAATATGTTAAGCATTTATCTTTCTTTATAATATTCCAATCAAATATTGAATTCAATGGGATAATATTTTTTAGACATCCAATTCCATGAGAAAACAAATATGGATATACATTTTTTTCAACTAAATAGTTCAAGGACTATATTCGAGAATTAATAGTCCGATAAATTACAATCTCATCTTATTCAATCCATTTAAACAAACATTGGCCTTTGATGATTAAATTGGATCATAGAAATGGGAAATTTTACTCCGAATATTGTGAATTACCCGGATGGCTGAAAATATAATTGTATGAATTTAAAAAGAAAAAAGAAAAAAATATAATTAGCTTGTTTAGTTTGGATTTTTAAGATTCAATTTTTAAAATATTAAATTTTTTTTCGTGTTTTTTTTTCATTGAATTTTTTTAATATTCTAAGTAATTTTTTTAATTTTTAGATGCACCTAACATAAATATATTTAAAAAGTTTAATATTTATGAAATTATTTTTTAGAAAATTCACTAAATACAAAAAATACAAAAAAAAAAGAGAAGAGAATTCAGTACATTTTTCGAATTCTTGGTATTTATTGATTTTTTTAAAATATTTTTTTTTATAAATATTTACTTTTTAGATATATCTAAGTAAAGTATATCTAAAAAAGTAAAAAAATTGTTTAAAATTTCAAAAATATTCACTAAAAATAAAAAATAAAAAACTCAATTTTTTAAAAATTAAATTCAGAAAATTGTAGTATGGATGAAATCTTTTGTGGTACGATTTTGACATACATGAAAGATGTGCACCAAGAACATAAAAAATTACAATTCAATGTGTAAAAGATGTGGGATTGGCATACGATTTTTACACACATAGCTATTTTGGGAAGATAGTTATAATCAGTTTTTTGGTTAAAAACTGATTAAAATCTCATTATAATCAGCTTTTTAGTCGAGAGAGAAGTGAGTTATAATCTGGAAAGTGGATTATAACCCACTTCCCAAAAGAACCCACATAAAAGATGTGGGATTTTGTGGTACACACCTATGCACCTTATAATTTAAAAAAAGAGAAATTGTACAATTTTAATTTTTTAAGTCATAACTATAATATATATATATATATATATAATAACTAAACACAACATAAAGCATAACTAAAAACTCACGAGTCATAATTAAAATAATGTCATAATTAAAGAAAAAAATTGATCATAATTAAAAAAAAAATGACACAATTAGGAATGTATATGGTACATATTTATTAAAGGGGTATATATTAGAATTTACCATGCATACAGAAAATTTGTACCTCCTGAAAACACATCTGGTTTGGTTCCAATTTTTTATTTCAAATTTTTTATTTTTCATAGTTTTGTATTTTTAGTGAATTTTAATGTTTTAAATAGTTTTTTTAAATTTTTATTTTATTTTATTTAATAGATGCACTTAACCAAGATGTACATAAAAAGCAAAATATTTGTACAAAATTATTTTAAAAAATCAATAAATACACAATAATACAAAAAATGTACTAAATTTATATATATTTATATTTATATTTTTGGTATTTAATGAATTTTTTTATAGAATTTTTCACAAATATTATATTTTTTTAAGTATATTTATATGGAGAAATTACCAATAAATCCCAAATTAAGGAATGATGTTCCAAACATGTGTATTGCCCAAAAAAGTCACATCTACCATTCCCATTAACATGTGTATGCCCCCCCCCCAAAAAAAAAGAAAAAGGCAAATTACACTAACAATTCTTATAGTTTAGGACTCGTGTCACTTTAGTTTCTAACTTTTTAATTGTGATCGAATGACCTCTTCACGGCTGAAACTGATGTTAAATGTATCAATCCTCACTGTCGCAGATCATCCTCCGCCTCAATTTTTTCATCGTTTGTGAACCGATGTTACGCTTGACAAATGTTCTTAGGGTTTGGTCAATGTTAGGGATCCTGATTCACAAATGTGTGGGATCTGGGTTTGCTAATCGATGCTGAAAACTAGCGATTCCCATTTACATTGCACCAAAAACCACGTCGGTGTTGATCAACGTTACATATATCCACAAAATCTTTCTAAACATGCAATCTGAAATTCAATTAATAACATATAAAAGAAGCCCCAAATGTGTAATTTCCATATAAGCGAACTACCAGATTTACCCCCTTATTATTTCACAACTCCCCATACTTATTAGTGTCATTTTTTGTCAATCACACTATAATAGGACTTATTGGTCTACACAAATAAACACAGGACTAAATAGTTCATAAGTTATCATCTTAAGATTTATTGGTGCATCACTCTATTTATATTAGGTGTATCTAAAAATTAAAAAATTTGCTTAAATATTAAAAAGTTTAGTAAAAATAAAAATATGAAAATAAAAAATTCAATTTTCAGAAAAGTGATTCAAACCAAACAAACTGATTTGTAATTTTTTTTTATTTTACTAGTAAGGCTAGGTTTAGGGTTGATTTTTTAGGTTTTTTTAAGAGTAAAAAAATTAATTTGTTTGAGAAATTTTTTCGATTTTTTTTTAGTGAAAAAGTTGGTGTGACATTTAATTTTTTTTACTATTGACAAACAATTGAAAAGCTTTTTGGCCATGTCTGGTTTGATTTTCTTAAATTACTTTCTAATTTTTTTTTAAAAAAAATAGAAAATAGTTTTGAAAAAATAATAAATATCAAAAAAGATATTATTGAATTTTTAAAAATTATTTCCATCTTTCAGGAAGATCAAATTATTAAAAAAAGTGACAATTATTTTTCATTTTTTTCCCACCAAAACAAATTTTAATTTTTTAGAAAAAAAATACTCAAAACGGATTATGAAAACTAAACCAAAACAAGCCATTGTCTTTTGGCTTTTTTAGAAGGTGTTTGGGATTTTTTTCCCCCAGTTCAAATTTTAA